CATAAATAAATGAAACAAGCAATGAAATGCCACAGGGCGACCTAACAACACCTACATATGTATGTACATACATACATATGTATATGTACACTGAGTTGTATAATTATAAGACCGCAACATATTAATAAGTTTTGACTATTTATTTTTATATTATTTAATTTATATTATTTTCTTAGAAAAATATTGTTCATTCTATATAAACACCGTACAAACCCACATTTCAAACTTTGTGCCAACGTTATTAAAAATCAGTGAATTTTTTTAAGAAATTTTTAGAATAGTTTTGCGTGTGCAGTTTTATAGACCATGCAATTTTAGTAAAATAAAGTGCGAGTTTCATTTGGCTACAAAATGCCGTAGATTTTTGGCGATTTTTTTATTTATTTTTTTTTTTTTGTTGACGGAATCACTCATTTTGTTCCATACAAGGTATGTTCGAAAATTTTTTTATATAGAAGAAAACCAACAACAGCGTCAACGAAAAAAAAAAATCAAAAATCAACGGTATTTTGTAGCCACATAAAACTCGCACTTTATTATACTGAAATTGTATGAGCTAGAAACTGCATAGGCAAAAACATGATAAAAACATAGCAAGGTAGAACCGTTCTCTCAATTTGTCGGCCATGATTTTTTTTTTGAAGTTTGCCAGCATTTTAAAATCATATAAATTTGAAAATAAAAACTTGAAATTGTTCGAAATTGTTGTTGCTTGAGATTGAAAATTAAAATGTGTGTGTGAGTTTGTGAGTAAATTTAAAAATTAAAATGTTTGGAAACGTCAAGAATTTTAAAAGTAACTCTCAGCGGTCCTACCTTACTATATTTTTATCATGGGCAAAAAAACACGTTTCCAAAAATTTTTTTAAAAAAGTAAAATTTTGGCGAAAATTCGCTGAGTTTTTATAATTTTTGCACAAACTTTGAAATGTGGATTTGTATGGTGTTGGTTATGAAATGAACTATATTTTTATAAGAAAATAATTTAAATTAAATCATATAAAAATAAATAGCCACAATTGTTAATATGTGGCGGTCTTATAATCATGCAACGCAGTGTGTAAACATAAATAAATGTAGGCAAACCTGTATGTATAAATGTATGACGCAGTTACGTTGCATCTATTGCGTCGTTTAAATAAACTAAGGGATTTGTCTTTATAAGCTGTAATCCACCCTCCTTTCACTGCACACGTGCATAAATATGTTTGTACATATGTAACGTAATCAATTTGTGTTGATAACTAGTGCCATAACTATGCATGGGGCATTCCACTCACAGCTACATAAGCAAATTTGATTCCAAAATCTTTTTTTTTCAAAAAACCAAATTTTTTCAAATGTGAAAAACAGTTATATCTACATACAGTCAGTGACAAAACTATTTTGCATTAATTTTTTTACGATATTCAAAACGTTATTCATGGTAAAATTTTTCGTAATATTTTTTTTTTTTTATTATAAATAGTAAAGGCTACAACAAAAAACGTGTAAATAAAACTTCCTAACTTTGCACAAAATTACTGATAATTCAAAAAATTTAATCAGAAGTCTTAAAATAAATTCGAATATGCAGTTTTTTAGCTCGTTTATGTAGATACAAAAAAATCGTTATATGGAAGAAAATGCTCAACACCGACATCAAAACAAAATCAAATATCAACGGAATTTTCTCGACTTAAAACTTATATCTTATTGTACTAAAATTGAATAAGGCTATAAAATGCTTATTAATTTTTTTTTTAATTTTTGATTAAAAAATTGGAAAGTTTAATGTAAATTTGTTGAATTTTTAATAATAGTCTCCAAAGTTTGAACTTTTGATTTACATGGCTTTAGTTGTAGAATGAGCAATATTTTTGAAAAAAAAAAAAAAAATCTTTTGAATATCATTTTGAATCAGTGCAAAATACTTCTGGAAGCCAGTGTGTGTACATATGTATGTAGTTTTGCTTCTGCGCAGAATGAAAAATTTGACTAAAAAAGTATTTGCCTTTCCACGCGGTTTAAAAAATTCGAGGTAGTAAAAATAATTAGAATCCTCATTCTTCCTGTTATTGTTATTAAATCCCAAAGCTGCATGGTTGGCAAATATGTATTTTTTATTGCCTAACTACTTTTATAGCCCCTAATTTGAGTCAACACTCTCATATCTTATCAGTACAATGAACTGCTGAGAAATCGTAGTAAAAAAAAGTATTAAGTGTCGAAAATATTCTACTATTATTAGGTACATATTTTTTTAATGCCCAAATGTGTGAATTTTAAATTGGCAATATTTTAAAATAAAATAAGAAGCCCATTTTTTATAAAAATTACATTTAGGCTCTTTTTGGACAATAAAGAATTCGAGGAAAGTTTGAAGTGAACTGTTCTTGAGCAAACTCGTTCTTCTTGCAAGATTTTTTTAGGAGAATTAAAAACAGTCAGTTGAAAAGTTATTTCTTATATCACACTAATATATGTACACATGTACATACATACATTATTGTAAATTTGTATTTAGTATTTACATAAGCATGTACATACATATGTATGTATACTATTTAGAATCGTAAATTTTTAAATTTTACTTTTTATCTAATTTTATTTCCGAAAACCACATAAACTGTAGAATTTTGTTTACATTCAATGCAGCCATAATCATGGAAGTTTTTCTCACCTCCTTGTTAGGCCTCTAATTTTACTATTTGTATCTGAATGTATGCGTTAATATTTACAGTTTTGTTATTGCATCCATTGGTCGTCACATACATACATAGTATAAACCATATGGTTGACTTTTCGACTCCATATGTTTGTATGCACATATTTAGAATCTGTTGTTGGTTTGTCTTCATTGCCTTGCCTTGTGCATTTTTGCCTCTCCTTATAGTACAAAATAATTAGTGTTGCCAGAAAAAAATTTCGTTTAGAGCTAAAACGGTCGAAAATAGTAGCTAAAATGAAGAGCTAGTTTTTTTTTAAGTTGAGCATTTATTGACATACATTTTTTTTTTAATTAAGTGCTAAAAAACTGTTAAAACCAAAATAAGGTGCAAATACATATTTCGAATTCATTGCTTATTCATGGCACTTACATATACAGTATTGGCCAATACAATAGCACCCCCATTTCAAAGTGATATTGTATGCCACTCATGTTTATTTATTTATTTTTAAGAATTTTCAATTAAAATACAGTTCATTCTCTCACAAAACTCACATAAACTCAAGTTTAAAACTTTTTAAAAGACCGCAAAAAAGTGCAACAAATTTTCACCCAAATTTCAAACTTTTTTCTCAGAAGCGGTAGAATTTTTTTGAATACACAGTTGTATAGCCCATTCAATTTTAGTCTAATAATGTGCAAGTTTCAAGTGGCTAAAAATTACCGTTGATTTTTTAGAATTTTTTTCGCCGAGGATGTTGCGGGTTTCTGCCATATAAAAATAAATTGTGTTTAGTCGTTATATGGAAGCAAATGAGACAAAAAAAATCAACGGTAATCTTTAGCGACTTGAAACTTGCACATCATTGGACAAAATTGAATGCGCTATAAAACTGTGTACTCAATTTTTTGAGCTTCTGAGAAAAAAGTTTGAAATTTAAGGGAAAGTTTGTTGCACTTTTTTGCGGTCTTTTAAAAAGTTTAAAACTCAAAAAAATTCTAGAGCTTCTGAGAAAAAAGTTTGAAATTTAAGGGAGAGTTTGTTTCACTTTTTTGCGGTCTTTTAAAAAGTTTAAAACATTGGTTTATATGGGTTTTGTTGGAAAATGAAATGTATTCTAATTAAAAATTCTTAAAAACAAATAATTAAACATAAGTGGCAAACAATATCGCTTTGAAAGGGGGGTGCTATAGATATGTCCAATACTGTATGTATACATATACTTATATAAACTAGACAATGAACTAAAACTATTTACAAACTGTTGAAATCTGCAACTCGTGTCACGAATAATTTGTTCGCAAAATTTTTCTGAAAAGTTTTATTTCCTCCTCTCCTTCAGGTAAAATTTTTTTTCTAATTAATTTTTGAATTCTTTAAACTAAATCCAAGAGTTTATGGTGTAGTCTGTATTTTCCCGTGAATACAAATGTATGTTTTTCCACTGCATTTCGAAACTAGTAATTTTATCAACGCTTAAGTTCTGGCTTTGCTTTTCTACCGTGGCTGCCTGAGAGAGAATCCACCGTCTTAGACGCTCAGGTGCTCGAATTACTGCCCGGTATAGTTGTAGAACCTAATCGACTTACTTACCCATTTTCCATTTGCTTACGCGCCATTTGCATTAGGAATGGAACTTTTCTAAGTATGTATTAATCGAAATAGAATAACATGAAGGTAACGAAAATAGCCTGAGATCACTAAAACCAAATAAATTTTAGTCAACACTTGTAGAATGGAATTACAGATTCTTAATTTTAATATATTACCAAATACAACTAAAACTTCCTGGAGCTAAAAAGTGCTAGAAAGTTTTGGAAAGTACTAAAAAAAGAGATAAGAATAAGAGCTAAAGCCCAATTTTAGGAACTAAATGGAAAAATAAAGAGCTAAATCTAGCTCCAAAAGCTCCGAAATGGCAACACTGGAAATAATGCATTCACGCTCTCAACTGGCTGGCAATAAATACTCATCGCTCTATTAGCAGAGTTAAATTAGCTCTGAACTTTTGTTCGTCGCGTGTTGGCTGATAATTTTTCATCGTCATTGTTGTTGTATATATATATGCATCTGTATCATATTTATTAATATACATACATACATACATATGTACATATATACATACATGCATGTTATGTTATATAACCCAGTTGTTAGTGTTGATTTAAACTTGATGCATGGTTTATGCACATACTTGCATATTAGGGCTATGATTTATTTTGGTTTAGGACGTAATGCCAAATGATAGA